TTAGAAACACCTTTCAGATAATATTCCAATTTAGATCTAATAAACCCTCAACGCACACTTCCTGTGCCTGCTGCCGCCACACAAACTAAAACTGATTAACTTTGAGTTTAAAATAAGATGACATCAGTGGAAATATCTTTTACCGTAAGTTTCACTAACCAACCACAATAATAAATTTTAAGATAAATGTTTATATAAACAGAGTAATCTCATTTATCTAGTCCTCAATGAAAGATTATTTTGTTTTATTTAAAAGTAGCACAAAAAAACCTTAAAATAATCTTTAACTCTATTTATTCTGATCACCATGTTGGCATAGTCCAACAAACAAAGCTAAAGTTTCAGTCGACTGTAGCTGAAGATCAGATGGTGACTTAAATCTGAGACAAACGAGACAAAAAACAACGATTTTCAGTCGAGGTTTCACTAAATTTGTTTTTCCCATTTCTTGGGTTATTTGGGTCCAAACTCACCGGCAGTTTTTGACGTTGGGGCGTGAGTTGAGAGCATCCCACGACGTAAACGTGCAACAAATTTATTATTTTAATTTAAATGTCCTGATTAGAGCTGCAGGATTTATAGTTTGAGGAACGTTGACACAACGTATCAACGTATCCTGTGAAGCAGGAGGCGAATTAAATCCCGCGTATTGTGCTTTTATTTTGATGGGTTGCTTCCAGAAGCGGACAGCTTTGTGTCAAAAAAAAAATATTTTTTTTTTTTAGTTTTGTTGTGCAACTTCTGGACAATGATGGCTGGGTTACTGTCGGTGAGTTCTCCAGCTGAGGAGGAAGACAACAAGTATCTTGATGAAAATGAGGAAGATGAACAAATTCACAGAGAACTGGAGGAAAAGAGGTAAAATAACGGTTAGCAAGAATGCTAATTTAAAAAGGAAACAGAAGCTAAGAGACAGAGGCAACACTCCAGGTAGGAAAACATGTTTACATTTGAAAACATCCTCAGGTCCAGCACAATAAAATATAAGAATAACTCCAATATAAACAAAAAACATACGTATAACTCTCAGAACAAAGACGTAAGATCGGTGCAGGTTCATCCTCAACACGGCAGCAGAACTCAAGTTACTCATCTGTGAGTAATTTTAATTTTATTTGTATAAAGTCATCTGTGAGTAATTTTAATTTTATTTGTATAACAACGTATATCAGAGTTAGAAAAAAATTGTAATGTCAGTTGTTTTCCAATATTGTACAAGCCTAGTCTTTATAAAGGGTGTGTCACTGAAGTAACACAATATTTCATTTCCCAAATACTGTATCGATTCTCTAAATCTCTTAAGTTTAAAATAAGCTTTAAAAAGGAAAACGTTTATGCTAGCTGTTCATTCTTGTTGTACTTTAGCCTCCGACCACTAGTTGGCAGCAGTCAGCAGCCATTAGGCTCCTCCACTCCCTAAGAGCCAGAGAGTTTAACGCTAGCTCAAACATTTGCGTTGTGAGTAATCATATAAAACATACTGATGCTTTTTTTTTAAATAGAAAAGGCAATATATCGCTTTGTTTACAGTCAACATATCATATCGTGAGCCCTGGGCCTGCGTCACGACGCATCACGTCACAGACGTCTTGCTCGTACACAGACTAGTCCTGATGTGATGTAAGAGATGCCAGGTGCACAGGCAGCAGCTAACGTCTGCTTTTAAAAGAATCGAAGACATGGAGGATTTGATGGTGAAACTTCAGTTATGCTAACTGCCTTAGCTTCTCTATGGCGTTCTCATTAAGTTAGCATCAATGCTAACGCTTGGTCATCAATATGTTTAGGGATGCACGATAACTTATTTTAGTGAATTATCTGTTTTGAAATTGTGGAATGACTTTTTTTCTTTTGTTTAAATCTGAGATCAGTGTTAAAGGTATTTTTATGTGCCTTATTGAAAAAGATGGCCTTTTCTGAGAAATTGATTTGTTTGAAATACTTTAAGAAATGTTTGTTTGCTAAGAGTTTATTTCAAATAATATAATTTAGTGTCTTTTTTTGTCTGTAGTTTTTATGTTATGATCTTACCCATTTTGGACTAGTCTTATCTCCTAGCATGTTATCAGTTATTATCGGTTATCGGCCCTTAGAAGGAGAACGGTATCGGTTCTTAAAATAAGTTAGATTCAAATTACATTTGTTTTTATCATTATTAATAAATGATTTAAAACATTTTTCTACCTGAAGCAGCTTCTTAGAGTGTGAATGCAATACGACCGCATCATACATAAAGGAAGACACACAGAGAGATGTTTAGCTGATAAACCATGGCTAACAGGTAACAAAAGCTTCGGTCGTTAGCGAGGGTTAACGGCTGCCTGTCATCATTTCCATCATTAAATTTCTTGAGATCTGCGTCCTCTCTGGCAATTTGTTCAGATTTGTCAAAAGCCTCAGCAATGATATATAAGTCCCAATGAATTAGCTTGTTGTTGTTAGCATTTTAGCAGAACGGACTCTGTGCTACGTTCAGGAGGTAACAGACTTTATATGTTCTCAAACTGGGAGTTGTTGTTCCGACCTTTTTATGTTTATAATTATAAAGTTTGTGTGTAACATACAGGGTTAATTGGTAAAATAATATTAATAATCATTAAAACGACTGGTTGTTTTTCAGCACGAAGTATTCTTATTATTTTTCTAGTGAGAAACTTGTTTTTTGCTCGGGTCGTGCCGGACGGGAAGTGGCTTGACCAAAAAGGATAAAAATAAAGGAGCGCACTCACAACCACGCTGGCAAACATGTACATATATTATCGGTAGGGCTGTGTATTGGCAAGAATTTGGCGATACGATACATATCATAACAGAGGGGTCACGATACGATATATCCCGATATATTGGGATACTGTAAGCAAGGCGATATATTGCGATTTTTTTACCAAAAATTCTATTAAATAAAAACCTCTTACTGAAAAAAAAAGAAAAGCTAATGTTTACTTACAATGCTAATGCTACCCTTACTCTCTGGCGCTCAAGAGGTAAAGGAGCCAAATGGCTGGCTCACTGCTGCCAACTAGTGGTCAGAGGCTGAACTACAACATAAAAATGAACGGTTGGCAGGAAAGTTGACATTTTAAACCTTAATTAAAAATCGATACAGGGCTTTAGAATATCGATACAGTATCAGGAAATGAAATATCGCGATATTTCAGTGTATCGATATTTTCTTACACCCCTAATTATCGGTTCTGTTTGTTATGATATCGGACCGATAAGTATGACGTCATAATTTCCTGATATCGAGCCGATAACCATTGTGCACCCCTAAATATGTTACCAGATAGGGCTGCCACGATTAATCGACGACTAATCAATTATTAAAATAATCGATGACTAATTTAATAATCGATTAATCGTTTTCTTTTTTTTGTTCTTTACTTTGTTTTTCTCTCCAAACTGCTTTGACACCTTCCACTGCCACGTCTGCCTTTCTGTCCTTGACACACATGCACAGTAGTGGTAACTGGGGTAGGCCGTGGACGTCACAAGACATTATACAGACAGGCTCTGGTATCATGGCTACCTGACAACAGAGCTCAAAGTGTGGGATCATTTTAAGAAAATGAAAGAGAAACCTGTGTAATATCTGCAGAGCAGAACTTACCTTCCACAGCAATTATTTTTAGTTAGCATATAGCTAAAATCTAACCATGGTTATATAATAGCAGCTGCATTCTGACGTGATGAGCTGTATGTTTTATATTCAATTAACGTATGATCTGATTAGTCGACTAATCGAATAAATAATCAATGATTAATCGATTATTAAAATAATCATTTGTGGCAGCCCTATTACCAGATTTACAATAGATTTGACATTTCACACACAAAAAAAACTTTTATTCTTTTGACATTTTATCATCTGATCCAAGCGCTCAGCACGCTCTCAGCCCCGCCTCTTTCCTGTGTCGACCAATCACCTGTTAGTTAAGACAGCGCAGCTTCCTTATTCATTCAGCACATTTTATAGTTTGGGTCAAAATACAATAAATCAGCAGTATGACCGTTTCCTGTCTGGCAACCCTGGAGCAGTAGATCATAAGAATTATCTGGGCTTTTTCCATGTTTGTGTTTATTTATGAAATATTTCATGCAGTATTTATGAGTCAAGGTGGCTCCAGCCGCCTTAAAAATGTCTACGACTTGGTCATTTTTAAATTTATGGAGCTAAAACTTGGTGTGGCTGTAGCCTAATTAACTCTCAATGTTTGTTCAAAACTATTTCTTGAATTATACACTCTTTATTATGTATTTTAAGTATATAATCAGTACGTATACAACACAAACAAGTCGTTTAAGTTTCAGTATAACTGAAAGCATTAATAATCTTTCTATAGATTTTTATCTAGATATAGATGCAGGTGAAATAAACGCATCAATCATCATTATAAATTATTTTTAAATGTCAAAAATGTTAATCTTTTGATAAATTCCCTTAAAATCCAAATCCATGAGTTCATTCATTGCACTGAATTTAAATTATGAAACAAACTGTGAATGTCTTCAGCATCATCACCATCTGCTGAAATAAATGCACAAATAAACCCTAACTATAAAACACCTTCAGTCATATTATTATTAATATTTTTATTATTGATTATGTAACATAAAGCAAATCTTAGAGCAAACATTACACACTAAAACCCACGGTGAATTGTGCTATTTTTTTTAAATATTTAATTTCTAACATAAAATTCAGAAAATGACTGCTAACAGAACAGGTTTAAAGTGATTTTTAATGGTTTTAAATAAGAACAGGAGTCAATAAAAATTAGCATTTTTAACGTTCAGCGTGGCTAACTGTAGCTAACAGTTAGCTTGTTATCACTAGCCACTGATTTGTTTTATTATTTTTCTTTCTTGTTTAACATCAAGCTGCTCTTTAGCTACGTGACTTTAACTTGTTTGAATCAAGAAAAACTCGGTTTGTTGCGCAAAATAAAAATAAATAAACAACCATCATGTCAGCGGAGGAAAGAAAGGCTCAGACTCACCACACCATCCCGTAGGCGCCCTCCCCGATGTAGGACAGGTTGCTGTACCGAGGCCCGACGTCGAAGGCCTGCCCGCGGACCAGCTCCGTTCCCGGTCCGGGGCTGGGGCCGGAGCCAGCAGGGGCAGACACCGCAGCTGTCGCCATTACGAGGATCGGCTTTCTCTAAGAACCGCAGAACGATCGAACACGAACCGTGTTTTAAACCTGTCGGCGGGGCGACTTCAGCGGCGCGGCGGAGAGGCCTTCGGGGGCTGTGGAGTGTTTTTGTCTTTTCTTTTATTTATTTTTTCTTCCCTCTTTCCGTTCACGTCCGCTCGGAGCGACCACACCGCTGCTGAGCTGTCGCAGGCGGGGAGGCAGGAGGCGAGCGGCCACGGAGAGGCTGCTGCTGCTGCAGGAAATAACGGAGGAGGTCACGTGACGCAGACTTTTCTTTTTTCTTCGACTGCGCACCATTTGTTGTCCGGCTGACGAGAAGGCTCAACCGGGTGGGCGGGGTTTACGATCTCTTTTAACCAATGTATCAGCAGCCTTTAGATTATTTTCTGGATTTTTTTTATTCTAATACTCGTTTAAATGATCAGCTGTTAATTACATATTAAAATTAGATCGCTTTCATAAGTCGTCCCCAATTTAAAATAATCCCCTCCCGCCTGAGAAAACGCTCCACCTGCCTTCAAAAAAAAGAAACTTCGGTCCGGTTCATTTCCCGGCTAATTGAAAACGAGTGCACCCATTCTGATATTTCCTTTCTGCAAAAACATGAGCTAATGTCAGGATTTCAAGTTAAACTGAATCAAACGTTTTATTAAGTTATGGCAGCCAATTTTAAAGTTTATTTTTAAGCAAACTGATGGTTTAAAAACAAATTCTTTTATAAATGTGATTTTATGGTAATAAAACTCCTCTTCAGTTACATTTACCGAGTTTTTGAGGACATTTGACAATAAGAAAGGAAATAAAAAAACTTTTCCTTGTCTATTTTTATTCCACTTTTTGTTTAGAATGAATGGAGGCATGTTTCAAATAATCCTGATAAAAAATAAATTCCACATAATATAACATAAATGTGTAATCTTACATCTTCGCCTTCCACTGCACGCTGAAGGTCTGATGGTATTTATAT